CCCTGACTCCCCCCAGCTTGAACCCCAGTATTGCCCCTCCCCGACCCCAGGAAAGCAGCATTGTGTGCAGGGAGGGGGGAAAGGCAGGGGGAGGGGACGGATGAGGCCATGGACTGAGACCTGAAATAAAACTCAGGAAACCAGATCCTTGTCCCACACTGCCGCCACTGAGGCACCAGGGAAACTCGGACAAGCCCCTCACCCCCTCAGGGCTGCCGTTTCTAAGCCCACAGTTCATGGCAACAGCAAGCATTATAAACCTTCATGGTGTGGGGCCACATGGCACAGAGCAGACAGCCCCTCCCACCTTGCCTCCAGCTCGCTGCAGAAGCATGGGCCAAGGATGGCCCTAAGCCTTGCTCTATGAGAAGGTCCATGGAGCTGCGTTTTGCAAAACTTAGCTGCTCCTGGCGACTCTCCCTGACTCCCCCAAGTGATGGCGACTGTAGCATATTGAAGTGACTGGTGTTGGGCTGAGCTGACCAGCCAGCTCTTCAGGCGGCTTGGCCCATAGCGAGAAGAATCTCTAGAGTCAGTGGCCCGTAGACCCGTAGCCTCAGCTGGCGTGCCTGCCAAGCGAGCTGCTGCTTTCTCAGACTCAAGTCAGATCCAGGCTGCAACATCTTCCGGCCTGGTGCTTTCTTTCCTTTAGAAACAGAATATTATGGAACTCACGGGAATTATGTAACATGTTCTTATAGATGTTTACCGATTTGTTCTGATTTATGCTAATGCATTCAGTCATGGTCCAAAATGATTTCAAATAAAAGCTTTCCATGTGATCACATTTCTTCTTGAATAAAAGATACCAACCATAAATAAATTAAAAGATGTAGTTCTCTTATGAGCAACCCTACCACTTAGTCAGACCCCGAGCCAAACCCATTGTTGTGGAGTCTGTTTCGGCCTGTGGAGCCTGCAGAGGGCGGAGTAGAACTGTCTTACCCTTCCCAGGCACAGGCCTTTCCTCGGGGGCGACTGGTGGACTCAAACCACAGCCAGGCGTTCCACCGCTGCACCGCCAGGGTTCCTGGCTTAGTCAGAAGGCTTCCTAAATGCAGACTGGCAGGTAGGCATCTCTGTTATGTCCAGTCTGTTCTGCAGGCTCGGACTAGCTGGTGGGGGTTGGACTAAGCCAGTGAAAGGACTGTACCTATTTTGAAGGTGTGGTCCCAAATTAGACAATTTTAGAAATAGTTACCA